TTTTTTTTTTTTTTAATTTAATTTTTTTTCAAAAAATAAAAAACAGACAAAAAAAGGATAAAGATGAAAGAAAAAAGATAATTTTGGCCGTTATTAAATGAGTATCTTTTTTTTTTAAATAGATTTAAGTAACAAGGAACAAAACGAAGAAAAAAACCGTTAAATAGATAAATACTTAGCTTTACAGCAAAATCTTTATTTTCTTTTATTCGATACGATTTCACTAATTTTTTCTTTCATTATTTGTGTTAAAATTAAACATCTTCTCTTGAATAGCAGACTAAATTATCTTAGTTTTCAATTTCTAAATACAAAAGCTTTAATTTTAAAAGAAAAAACTTTAAATCCTCATCTATTAATTTAGTGGTCAAAAAAATTTTTTTTTTTTGAATAATACTAAACAATAAATAAGTGTTAAGCTAACAATTTAAAATTTATCTTTCTTTGGTGGTTTGACGACAGTTTTATCAGACTGGTTTGTGAAAGGATTCTTCAGAAAAGTTATAATGCTTCTTCAACTCAGTTTCTACTTTTTAAGCACCGATCTTAGTTGCTCTAAAATTTTAATTGATAGAACGAAAAAGTAGACAAACATTTTTTGCATTTTCGTCCAGGATTACGAGCTCCGTTTGGTGATATATCAACGTAACCACATGGACATCTGCATGTATACCCAATTGGTTTATCAATACATTCGGCTGCCGGATCACAGTTATTCATCGAAGGAACAGCGCATTCGTTAATCACTACAATAATTGCTGCTTATTTCAGATGATTGATCGAGTAATGTAATTATCAAATTTCTATCTTTTTTTTCTTGCTTTTTCTTCCTTATACTTCCTTATTGTTCACTGGTCTGTTGAATCATCATCCAACGCGCAACAGTATAACAACACATACATTTTGTACAATTTATTCCCGGACGTGTCATTGGCGACGACGAAACATCAATGTAACCTTCGTTACAGAAACATTCATAGGATGTGATACTATCCATACAGGATGCATTTGGATCACAGTCATTAAGGTTTGGATCAGCGCATTCATTAACTGAAAAAATGATTAGTTTATTTACTGTTGCTATTCAGAATATCTTATCGTTTATTACTTACTCTTCAATCAGTCTTGCATTAGCATTTTGTATTTATTTTAACAAATTCATAAGTAAGTTCTGAAAGAAAAGTTGAATGCAAGTATCCTATTGATAAATTATTAGTATAAATGTCAAAAGATAAAAAGAAAGGCAAACTAATAAGTAAGAAAAAAGTAGACGCAAAAAACAGTTTAGACTAGGAGCCAAAAGCAGTGAAAACAATAGGTGATATTTTTTCTTGTAGTACCTAGGCAAACTCCATCAACACGATTCCGACCATCCTTACAGATGCAACGATCCTGACCATCATCTTGTTGTACACAAATTTCACCGTTTCCTGTAAAAATACCGTCACAGATACACTGCGAAACAGTAAGTAGTTTATTTTTCAATTCTTTCTAGCTTTGTTTCATCTAAACCGGGTAGTCATCGCAAAAAAAGGAAACAAGCTAAAAAAGAAGAAAAGGTTTATTTTTTCATAATTTTTTTATTTTTTTTTTCTTGTTTTACGGTATAATAGATGAGTAATAAAGTGGAGGAAAATTTCACGTTGAAACAAGGCAGAAAATAAGACTGTATAACAAATTTATTCCCAAAGGAAATTCTGATACCAATTTAACAAATTTTTATCCCCGCAAAAATAGTTGTTTTTTTTTTTGTTGTCTTTATTGTCATTGTTACTGTTATTGTTATTGTTATTATTATTATTATCATTATCATTATTATTATTATTATTATTATTATTATTATTATTCATTATTATTATTATTATTATTATTATTATTATTATTATATCAATGATATTATAATAACAGTAATACCAATAACTAATACCCTATTATTATTATTATTGTTCCTATTATTATCATTATGCCATTGCCACTGCTGTTGTTGCTGCTATCTGTTCAATCATTTTCCGACAGTTGATGAAATCGATGTCTGTTCATTTGTTGCCAACGTTGTTATTGTTACTTGTTCAAATTGATGATATAATTTTAAGATGAAGATTCATGAAGAGACAGTGAAAAAAGCAGAAGAAAAAAGTTGAGAAAAAATATACCTTTGCAAGAGTATTTATTTCTGGAATCACACTGAATTTCATAAATCTTTTGTTCCACAGCTTGATCCATACTAAAATCGTTACCACCATCACCGCCTAACGAGCTGTACACTTCAATCAAATCATTGGCAATATCTGTACAGTTGGTGATAATGTTGTTCAAATATTGCTGTAAACGTTGCTCCGAGACACATCGTGGAAATCCATTTGGTTTCAAAGTTCCTTTTTTACACACACAATGTGGCATACCACTTACAACCTGAAAAAAAAAA